TCTTCCCTAGTGAAGAACAACCGTATAGGAATTTTTTCACTAGTTTGGTGACTGGATCAGCCCCTCGTTAACCAATGAGTTCAAGACGTTCCCCAACTATTCCACTTCTACTTCGTTTAGAGAGGTCTCAAACTTCTATCCAGCAGTATTTCCTCAATCCGGAAGCCCCTTTGTCTGGCCCGTCCTCCACTACTTCTGGCAACTATGAGCACCCTTCTCTCTACATGGAATTCCACCCCTAATCCTCCTTGTGTCGCAATCGTGGTAGGTTCAAATTATACCATAACTATAAAATTTCAAACATATTCAAATTTAAAGAATTAAAAAATTTGATAATAAATTAAAACCATATTGATGAGTAGGGGTACAATGGTAATGAAAATAAATATAGTAATGATAGTGGGGTATAATGATCTTGAGAGTAATGATAGAGCCTTTGACAATGTTGAGAGTACTCCTAAGAGATTAAAAGATAGGTGGATATATTATTTTAGGTCAATTTTGTTAGGTTATAACATTATTAATGATGTGGATTTTGGGAATATCATTGAAACGCTAACACGATTGTAAATCTTTTGTACATGCGCAGTATCCTTGTTTTGATACATTGTTAATGTATACTTTACAATTTTTATTTAAAAAAATAATGTTCTTGAGAGTAAAATTAGTGATTATGGTAAATGCTGTGTTCCTAATTCATGATCTCCCATCTATGAATCAGGATTACGACGACAATAATCACAATTATAAAGTAATTCTAATTCAACCAACCAACTAATGTATGTATTTCTGTTATGCAGTAGTTATTACATTCTTAGCGTATTACTACCTTTACAGTGAAGCAAACATATATGAGATCATTTAGGGAAAAAAAAACCTCTCATTTCTTGGCGAGGGGTTCAAAATTCGAACTTCAGTATGGCCTCCTTTTCATTTTCACTTGGTCCTGCCCTAGGCTATTATTGCCTTTGCATAGAATCAGTTCTTGGAATCAAGAGTCTTAATTAAGGTCATCTAGGGATGTAAAGTGGCTCTAATGAAGATAACTAAGAGTTAGAGGATGACACAAGCAACCGATGCAAGCAACTAGCATGATGAAAGTACCCCTTCACATTCATCAAATTTCTTTGAAAGAGCAACTAATGGTAGCCTCAATACTTCTTTTTGTTTCCTACATCTGTAGTCGGCCCTCCCATTTCTGTGATGGGCAACATAAGGTCCATCAAATAATATCTGCCTTGGTTTCTTCTGGAAGAAAAATTTTCGTCTAGACCATTTGTAATTTCTTCTGATGATTTTCTCTTGATTCTAGATTCTCTTGGGTTCCTTCCCAACAGGGCCACCCATATTCTTTCCTTTGAACTTGTGGCTAATGGGGACCAACCGTGGTACCAAAGGAGCTCTGGATTACCAAAAGGTCTTGTGGTTGAAATATAGATACTCTTCCGTTAACACATTCTGAGAGAGCATCCTTCTGCCTCATTGTAATACTATACATGAATTAATTTCCTTTCGATTACCCAAGGATGCCCTTGGTGATAGAGAAGACATGATCTTAGTAAAAGGGAAGCAAAAGACCACATACATCTTTCTCTGTCTCTCAGGGACAGTATTGATAAAGCTAATTCTAGGAACAATTATGTGCTAGTAATAGAAGACTTCAATGGATCTTCTTTGAAAAGGGATGAGAAAGAAAAACAAGAAGGAAAAGGAGACACAAATGTCATGTTCTTTTTTCTTTTTAGACAGTATTAATTTAGTGATCTCATGCTTCTGTACAAATTGGAGTTAGTTTTCTGATAACATGCCCCGCAGGATCTTGGCTTCTTCAACTGGGTGGTTGATACAAGCAGATGCAAGAGGTTGATGGAGAACCAGGAGGCTACCTTCACGGGAGAGGCGGTAACTAAGCTTTCTATTTATTATTTGCATTTCCTTTTTTTTATTACCGATAGTTGCTTGAGGTTTGTGTATGCAGCCCTGGACAGTGATGATTTATTATACCCTAAGGAGCAGAGGAAGCAGAAGAGGATGCAGAACGCCTC